CCTACAGAGAGCGCGCGCTATTGACATCAACTCGACAAAACTCATCAGATGCCGATCGCGATGCGGGAGTTAAGACCGCAGTTTGAGCTAGCGGCTCGAATTGATATGGCCCTGTGTCCACAGACAATTCACCCTCCTCCACTTCAGGTGAAGGTGGGGGAGAAAAGTCCTCGACTTCAAATGACCGCTCTGTTGCAAAGCTACTTGCGTCACTCCAGTCACTCCATTTTAGAGTCTGACAGCAGCTGTCACTGCGGGTCTCAGGTGCACGCCCCCCCGCTCAGCCCCGCCCTCGGTTCGTCCCCTCTATCTCCACTGGGGTCTGCCCATTTTTTTTCAGCATTTTTCAAATATTGCCAGTGGGTGGAGTCAGGCTCTGACCAGGGGTTTAGTTACCCTTTAAACGACTTGTTCTATAGCAGGGCAAAAAGCACAGTCAGCATACACTGGTCCCTCGTGGTGTGAGGGAGAAAAAAGAGGTATATTAAGGGGTATTACAATAAGGGGTGAAGGGTTTAGGAATGGGCAGGCGGGTACGGTAGAAGGGGCTGAATTTGCAGCGTTTGAGGGCAGCTGTTGCAATAGAAATAACTGAGTGGGAGAGCTTAAAATTAACATGTAGAGGATAAAAGGAAAGGAAGTAGTGACTGTATATGGAGGGTGGGAGATGTGTTATACATTTTACCAAGCGCTGACATTGTAAACGTTTCTGTTCGTTCGTGCATCTGCTAGCGTACAGATTGCATGGTTCTGTCTCTCTCTTTTTCTTCACCCTTTATAGGGTCCATACAAAAGCACATTTTGCTGCCATTTCCTTCTGCCAAGATCACACAGTCCATTTTCCTTTTCTTTCTTTCTCTCTCTCTCTTTCTGTTTGACCTAAAACCTTATTTTTTCAGATCCCTTGATGGATCCCGTTTACCCATCTTTAGCCTCCTATGCCAACCCCACTTCCTCTCCATTTCCCTTAAGGCAGGAAGCCGAAGTCATTTCCACACTGCAAATGGAACACAATACCCAGTCTACAAGATTGGGGGGAACATCAAAACAGTTGTTCAACAACCATCAGTTTGATTAGAAAGGTTAATCTATAATGAGTTAATCTTTATAAAACATTTTTGGTTTTTCCTTTACACACACACGCACACAAAAACCCGTCTAAAAGTTTGTGGTCAGTATGTTTTATTTATTTAAAATGTCTTATGCTGCTCACCAAGGCTGCATTTATTTTATCACAGTAGAACGATTAATTGTGTAAAATATTATTACAATTTCAATATTATTATTTTATATTTTAAAATATAATTCATCCCCGTGATGGCAAAGCTGAATTTTCAATAGCCATTACCCCAGTTCTCAGTGTCATGATCCTTCAGGCATTATTCTAATATGCTGATTTGATTATCAAGAAACTGCTTGGAATCTTTTAGTTTTATTTTTCAAAAGTTTTATATAGGCTATATATTAGGGCTGTGCAATATGGACAAAAGAATACCATCATGATTTTTTTTCATCAATATTTCGATATTTATCAATATTTAATCACAATTTTCACAATTTAATCGCATACCGTTTGTCTCATCACTCTTGTTTTCAGCATATTCTCAGAAAGACATGGTCCTCTAGGAACGAGAACATGCCCCCAGTGCGCGTCAACCTTGTGGCAGCTGTTTGATCCGTTTGGCAGTCCGTGGGGTGTATTATCAGCCAGGCTGTGTTAAAGGCCTCTCAGAACTGTGTGAGGGGAAGAGCAAGGCAAAAGCTAGCTGAACTCGTTTCAAGCATCCTCACCAGGTTCATATGCCACCTGTCCTCTCCGCTCATCTGACATAAGCCACTCGGCATCGGTCCCCGGACAGCCAGACCTCTCGCGCTTCAGCATCTGAAAGTTGTCTGAGGTTCTGTGACCCGAACCTTTGAGCGCCACCACCGCAGTAATCACATGTGGACCCATAACCTTGTTGCCTGTTGACGTCACTGGCGCCCGCTGCCGTCTGAGAGATGGTAATCGGTCAGCCAGAGCGCTGCAGACAGATGGCGGGCACATCCATGATAGGATTACTCTGGACATATTAGAATTTGCAGGTATTAAAATCTTCTCGAAAAAGCAATTTCAATAAAGGAGAATCTGTGTTTGGCTTTAAACTGATTTAGGATGTAGACATGCTTGAGTCTCTCACACAGTAAACACCATAACAGTTCACGGATCATTTCAAGTAAGACTTGACCAATAGCAATGACTGAGGGAGTTAAGTTGATTCAGACTGATTCACTGAAAATGTGTAAATCAGCCTTTATTTTAGATATGAGTTTTAACATCTAAAGTAATAAATGACAGAAAATAAGATTCTCTTTTTTGGAGAATCTGACAACATTGTGTATTTCCATGTACGGTGTTCAGTGTATCCAGACAAACGATAGTTATCGTATTTGTACGATAATTTTGACTTCTGCCTCAGCCAATCATCGTGGAGAATGACACTCTCTCACGAACGCAATTTAACGTCCCTGCCGTGACGCTTAGGTCAGTTGTTTCCAAGCTGAGGTCGATTGTTTAGCAATAAAGATCTAGATAAATAGCTGTATTCTGTACATTTGACAATCTGGCAACCCTGACGTCGGTCATTTTTGTTGTTTCGGAATTTAAATTTATTGTTTAAGGTTCTATTTGAAAGTAAAATGCTTATTTTTAACTTTTGTTTAAAAAAAAAAATCCATATTTTTTTAAGTTTGCATACAGCACCATGCAACTGGAAAGGACAACACATGCAGTAGATGCAGTTTTATGGTCACTTCAATTCAGACTCAAAGCTCATAATATAATAAACCAAAATATTTATTTTTACTGTGGGCTGTAGAATCATCAGCACAGCAATTCTATTGAACAGTGTTGCAGGAAGCACTGGGGAGAATAAATACGGCCAGTTGGGAGGCCTGCAGGACAGCTTTGTCTATCTACTTATCTCCAGCCTGGAGTCTTCAGCTAAAGACTTTTGTTTTCACTTCTTTTTATCTTTTCTTTTTCAGTCGGTGTCTTTGGTGTTGAGTGGCTATCTTTGAAAGCAAAGAGTTATATGATTAGGACACGCTTAAAAGTTAGGCCAGCAGTTGATAAACTGATCTAATTTCATTCAGAGGCTGCTAAAGACTTTATCCAAGCAGAAGAGTGTGTGTGTGTGTGTGTGTCAAGAGCTTTTTTTCCATCTCTTTGGTGCTGTCTGACGCTCTCCGGGGAGAACAGCAGGTCTGTTTCTCTTGCCCTGCTAACTGGCACCCCTGGGGAGTGCGAAGACTGTGGTCTAAAAACACTCTCTTGTGAGTTTTAGAATGAATGAGCTGGAAGTAGATTATTTAATGGACAAAAAATTACTGAGGACATTTCATCCTTCTCCAATCACTTTCTCTGGGATCATCAGCGCCATCCTGTCACAGTGAATAATGAGTTCTGCTTATCTTTGTTTCCTCAACACGGCATACATCATTAGTAAATACTGCAGCTGCTTTCCACCCTTCCAACTAAAGAATTAATTGCTTTAAGTAAACAAAAATACAATAAAATGTTTATTTGGACAAACGGAATGAAAAGAAAACTTTGAAATGACATCTCGTAATGTTTTGCTGCTTTTTTTTGTATTGTTGAAATATTGATCTATACAGTGATTTACACAATTTTTGCTTTCTCTTTTCCTTAGTGTCTTGTGCAGTTTTAGAAATCTAACAAAAGTAAATTGCTAAGTTTCAGAGGTTCTTACAAATGTTTTGTAAGCTTCGAACACATTGCACAAATGCACATTTTATATTACACTATTAAATGTGTGGAACAGTTAACATCTTTATTTTGCATTGACAAATGTGAATGTACTGTGCATTTTTAATCACTATTATGCAACATTTATTTACAAGTGGTTTGATCCGTTCACAGTCCACATCTCCATAAATATAAAAACTCTCCCATATTAAATGCCAAAGTAGTCAATCATTGATTGAAAACCTGTAGCTTTGTCAGCATCGACGGGGAAAGCATGCAAGCAGACTCCCGTGATCCACGCTTCAGCATGGTAGCAGTGAAGTGCTAGAGTGTGTAAAACGCTGGTATTAGGAAAATATCATGTATAATAATGAGCCAGGACCTTCTCCTAGGATGTGGTCATGCAGTCTCATGAATAATTATTAGACGCTGCTGTAGTGCATGGAAAAATCCTGTGTTGTTCAATTGAGGTTGGCTTCAAAATATCATGCAATTAACCATTTTATACCACAATAATGTGTTTCATGACTCAAATGGGAAATGCCATTTTACTTGTGTTGTGTGTCTCGTACGGTGACTTTGTATTGTATCGAGCATGTGCAGATATAATCTGATTTGTTTATGTGGTCTAAGATTCTAGTGATTTGTTGTAAAACGGGCGTGTGTATGTTTTCAATATGTGTGTATCAATAAGCGGATACAACTACACCATTTTCAGTTTGACTTCCCTAAAGAAATGCTGTTATACTTCTTTTTTCTCTGTTTTTATTTTAGTGTAATGAGTTCTATATTGCTATTTATGATCTCAGCTATTTCACTTTTAGAATGTTATGAGAATGGGAGTAGATTGTCATTTTAATTTGTATTAATGCTTAATTTGTTGCTAATTTACAAACTGTGTCGGACCTAAAATACTATGTTCCAGCAACCCATTTTTATCCAGTTAATCATACCCAAGGCATGCAAGCTTTGAGATTTCCCTCCATTTAATTAAGTTCTTCTGCACTGCTTACTTGTGGTGAAGTGGATCCATTAAGTATTTCCACTTTTGAATTTAATCAAATGAATTAATGATATTGATCCTTGATTAGCCCAATCCCTAGTATGTTAGTTATTGACATATTTATTTAACTTTCCTGAACCGTGATTCAGTTGTTTGCAAAAATGATTTCTGTCATTTTTGTGATGTTTTACCTTTGCAATAAGTAAATTAACCAAAAGGTAACCTCTTCATCTGTCACTCTCCCCTCAGATGATGCAGTTCGCTTGGGACAATTACAAACGCTACGCCTGGGGCTCCAACGAGCTGCGTCCCGTCTCCAAGCAAGGCCACTCCAGCAATTTGTTTGGTGAGTGCCTCTCTGACTCTGACCATCAAACTATGATTCGTTCATGTACAGCTTCACGTCTCCACAGTAAATTGGTAAGCAGTCAGAACTGTCAATCAAAGCTGCACAGGTGGTTAGGTGACCTCTATCAAAAAGGCTTTTGATTTCTCTCTGGTCCGTCTCACTTCACAAGCTCCGTCTAGGTTCATTTCTTCTATCAAGACGACAAACAAAACCATTTCTGACTGCATCGGGTGGGAACAGCATGGTCACACAACACAAATTTAGTTTCATGAAACCTTGATCCTCTACGTTTACGCATTGTGTTTTCCTTCCCTCTAAAGAAATGTTGTTGTGCTGCTTTTGCCCGTCACCATCTTGACCTATTTCTATTTTGAAGCTGAAAAGCACAGGTTGTGAGTGGGCATACTAATTCTTGAATAATTCATGAAGGCCTGTCCATCTTTCTGTGAGGTTTGTAATCTACATCAATAACTCATAGCAACAGCCCATTATATCACACTGTTGTACTACCTACGTATTGTAGTATGCGTTGTTTAGCTCCTCTCAAAAATGTTACCGTGCCTTTCAAAAGTTTGGAATTGGAAACGCACTCAGAAAGTTTGGAAACAGTCTATAAAATATCAGCATCAATACATTTATTCCAAGAAATAAGTATTTATGTAACTTGCAATTATCATTCAAGACCAAATATTTTCACAAATAATAAAGACAGTGTATACATGCGGCAGTGAGACATGCCCTCTGAGTCTGACTACTGTGTTCAATTTGGGCCAGATTTATTTATTTTTTAGTATTTTTATAGTAGACTGTTAGGTTGGCACACTTTTATAGCTTCACTGATTGATTTAACAATTAAGTTTAGCAAACCAATTAGATTAGCCTAGTTTATAAATCCTGCATAAATAACCTCCCTTTGAAACCTGTATCTTGTCTATGTCTTACAGATGAAAATTAATGATGTACTAAAATTTCATTATTGGCCAAAAATAGCATTGTTTTTGAATGAATCATGTTGCGATCAAAATGTAAACACAATTGCAAATTGAGTTTGTTGATTGGTTCCCAGTGCATAAATTGTGTTTATTTTTTATTAGATTGTTTATTAGATGTTAGATGTTCATGCAGTGATCACTAAGGAAAATATATAGCCTAATTTATTTGATTCCAAACGAGTCTAATTTAAAATGAATAATTTTCAGTTGCAGATACTTTTTTTTTTTTGTGCATCACTATTTAATAAAAATGTGGGTTTTGACCATACAAACAATTTCCAGCTGCATATCCTCTCAATTAATTGCGTTCTCTGAATCTTGTTTCATGCACATCAGTGTTTTTCAGGATTGAGACTGAGAGTGTTATGAAACATTCATCAGACGTCCTGCTGTTGTGTTGTAAACTCCACATAGTCGATTGGCACTCAGCTGGAGGGCAGGCCGGGGATTTACAACGCACATTTGATTAACCTCCATAATTTTGCTTTGGACTTGCCAGTAGAATATACAGTCTTAATTTATTTGGCTCACACACTATCAGAATAACAATCTGGCAAGAAGTACGTCACACTCTTCACATCCCTTCCTGTCCTACAGCCTCAGTCGTGTGTGTGCGTTTAAAAAAAACTCCCATGTCAGTCAAAGCCTGACATTATTATTACCTCCCAACCTTTTTTGTTGTGCCGTGCGTTTCCAGGCAGTTTTGAGTGCTTGTCAATTTCTCAAATTGTAAAGTTGGCCCCATGGGCCATACGGCCCATGAACACAGGAGACCACTGAACACATGCTCAACCATTGCTGCGTTTTGTCTGGCAGGGTTTTCCATTATAAATTTAGAGGTTGGGTTAATGGTACGTTGACTCTGAATAAAAGATTATCTGGAATATGCTGGTCAGGGTTTTTGTACCTGACCAGGCAGCTGGAATGACTGTTTTGTGCTTTTCTAGATCGCGTTTCTCAGTGAGATGTGAGCTGCTGATACCGGCCGATCGGATCACACACACCGACACAGAGTAAGACCTCGCTGGGAATCATGATCACTGGGGCGGTCACAAGAACAGCCACTTTACAACCCACAGGGCTTTAGCTCGCAGAGAAAAATCAGGCTGAAGTCAAGCCATATGGAAGTGCTTAGTCAAAACATTATGCCTGCTTGTGTGTTCCGGATGTGTGAGATTATTGCCACGTGTTTTTATAAACGTATATTCTGTGCCATTGCATGCCGCATACACGAAGACGAGGTATGGGTCTTTTTCTGATCCATTTGACAGTGCAGTATATGGCAATTTCTGATGAATTGCGTTTAACCAGCCATGAAAAAAAATCATTAAGGCCTCAGAATCTGTGGATTAGAGTGAGTTTGAATATTTCACACACACTGGGCTTGTTTAAGACCATTAAATCCACATAATATTCTAGGATAGAATGTGGTAAAAGAGAATGGGGTGTTAGTGATGAAATAATTGAATATAATTCAAATAATTGAAATTAATGACTGATTAAAGTTTATTGCATGCTTTATCGCCATCACATTGTCCAAAAAGTTTGAAAATAATGTTAAATTGAAGTTTATTGCATCGTTTACCGCCATCGCATCTCCCAAAAAGTTTATTGCAAATGTAAATTTTCTTCCAAATTGTGCAGACCTAATTACTCTTAAGTGTCATTTTAACAGTATGATTTTTAGGTATATTTGTTAAAATTGTTTGTTAAAAATGGTAGGGATACACGATATATAGCGGCCACCATATCGGTATCGGCTGATGTTCATTTTTAATGTTATCATTATCTGCCCGATAAGAAAATTTGGCTGATATATTAAAGCCTATAAGCAATGGATTATTTCCTTCAGCTGAGACACTTCCCTTCATGTGCACTGTTCGCCATGATGATTTGCTTGATGATTGAAATCCCTTCAAAAAGGAAAATACATGTGCAACATGTGCAGCACTGTCATATAACTATAAACTGCATAGAATTATAATGAGAAGAACATTATAGTTGTGTGTTTGGGTGGCTTTTTAATGGTAAAACTTTTGTTTTGTAATCAGACTCTCAAAAATTCTATAAAAATTTGGATTTAGATTTATCGGCCAATATATCGGTTATTGGCTTTCAAATACAAAGAATTATCGGTTATCGGTCAATTTTCATATCGGTGCATCCCTAAAAAATGGGCTATATGGGTTTAATTGGTAGAATAATTTAAATGGAATATTATTGAATTGAATTATTGATTTAGAACATTATTTTCTTTCTAATGAAGAATTTGTATTTATTTTTTACATTTCACTCCATGATAAAATCATACTTTGGTGTACAGGAAAAATATCAGTGTTTAACATGTATAATAGTTATTCTCTGATTTGATTGGCTGACCTTCAAACAGTAGAGCTTTGCACTGGAAACGCCAAGATCATGGGTTCGATCCCCAGGGAATGCTTGAACCTTAAATGCAATGTAAATACTTTGTACAGGAAAAAGACCAATGTGTTAAATGCACAACAGTTGTTCTCTCATTTGTTCAGCTGAACTCCATTTGATATTCAATAGAATCTACTGTTTGTATCACTCCGTTTGTCAGTGTTTGCTGCTTTTTCAGACCAGAGTATGCGTAATCTTAGCTTTAAAACAGCACTCGTTTTGCTCATGCAATACTGCGTAGGAAATTTGTTCCGAGAGAATGTTTGAAAGTTGACCTGCATAGAGATTTGAGTGTCTTCGTATCTCACATAGCTGATTCCATCACACTAAATACTGGCTGTTCTGTTCCATGTGCCAATCATCTGAGCACAGGGCAGGAGCAGATTCTCCAGACTGGATCTCTCTGTGAGAAACCAGCAGGGACTGAGACAATGCCTTGGCTAATGAAGCCACTCAGGTACAGTATGAACTGTCTGCAGTTCCCGAATGTGCGTGCTTGTCACTCACGACCACTTCCTCTAATAAAACGCACTGGGAAAAGATCGTGATTTGGAAATAACAATTTCCCAACAGTGAATTAAACCGATCTGTGATGGTCCCTGGCATGAACTTTGCAATAAAATAAAGAATAAAATAAAAAAGCTTAAAAAACCATCACAATCTTTTTGAAAGATAAGTGGTCGGGAAGAGGAAGAACACGTCAGTCCGGCTCTAAGCCCTTGTGTGCTCATTTAACACAGTGGCTGCTGAACCATGATGTTCTGTCAGTATATAGCCACACTCATATTAATGACCCAACAACAGTTGTATGCTTAGCTGTGTGTTTGGGGCATAGACAGAAGAGGCGCTGGGTTTTTGTTCTGTAGAGAGAACCTCTGAATTTAAATGAGGAGTCTTTGTTAGGAAGTACAGTAGAACTTTTTCTTGACTTTACTTTTTCTTCTCTTGCTTCAGATTGCTCTTCAAGCAAGCTTTTTGCTACACTAGCTTTTGATTAGCAGTATCATTTATAATTGTCATATATATATATATAAATATTAAAAAGTAAAAATTAATATGAATATTTTAACTTTTAAAATATAACGCATTACAAAATACAACATTTGATCATTTTATTAGCTGTAAAATGATGTTCATAATTTGTGTAACAATATTTATGAATTATTTTCACATATTAGTAATTCCTGTACATTTATCAAGATAACCATAGTTTTAAAAATGTTACATTTTCATGATTTTTTGTATATGTTAACGTGCTACGTTCTTGTCTTTTGCAGTGGCTCAAACGTGTCTTTGTTTTTTTTTACCCTTCGGGTAGCTTTTTCCAGTCAAGTACAAGTTTAGCTTAAATCCTGTATTTTCCATGCTTACTCAGTTAATGCGCATGCATTTTAGAGTAAATAAACAGTGTCGCTATGAAAAAGACTATTTGTTCTTTAAAATGTAAGACAAGACTGCACCTGCCATATTGTGAGCAGCAATTTCTCCCATTCATTTTTATACGAGTGAACTGTCTCCTGCTTTTATAAGGTCTCAGATTTGAATGTGACCTTCAATAAACAAGAAAAAAAGCTGCAATCT